CAATTTCACAGACATTTATACTTTGGTTTATAACTCCACAGTACATTATATTCTTTGTTATTCAAACTGTTCCAGATTGGAATCAGGAGAGCTCTTTCAAGTTGGCGCCTGTATTCCTTTGACATTCCCCATTCTTTTATTTTTCCAACACTTCTGTAGCTATGCTTTCAATATACAATTGTAGCATTCAGGTATTTTATTATAAAGTTGGCAGAAAATAAAATGTTAATCCCTACACTATTATATAGTACACAATATCCATGAGTCTAGACGTATTTTATTATTTGCAAAGTGGAGAGACTATCATGTTTTTGGCATTATATTAATTAAGATATGTAATGAGATTGAAACAGCATGCAAAACCAATGAATAATTGGTACTTTAAATGATACTCACTTTAAAATGGAGCTCTTTTGGGATAATATTAAATCTAAGCTTAAAACTGGCTAAAAATGCAAAAATGTCAGAAATTTTTAAAATTTTATTTTTTAAATATTAAAAAGTTTCACTAGCTTAAATGACAGAATTGTCACCCTAATTTTCATAGTACTATCAAAGAAAAGCTCTCTGAAGCTTAATTTTGCATTTCATTTTACAAATCAATTTTATCTTGACATGACCTATTTCTTATTTGTTCTAAAATGCACTGTTACCTTAGTAACTATTAATTACATGCCTTATGTAGCAGTGTTGGAAGAAAAGAATATTAGAGTCAAAGAAAATAGAGACCTGATTACTGCTCTTGGACCTTAATGTCCAGAAAGGCCTATCACAGACTATTAATTTTCATAGACCCTTGAACCATCTATATTATCTCCAAAGGACCTACAAATACTAGAAATGAATCCATTCTGATTTACAGTGCAGACCTTTGTTTTCTGAACTACAAGTCTTCAGAATCCAACCTGCACCCTTAACCGCCCCCCCGCCAAAAAAAAATTAGCAGCTTGTGATGCATTCCCAATGTTTTTCCTTAATCATGGTATTTTTCTATGTCCTTGGTCACCTGATATAAAGTTGCAAAGGGAATTTATTCCTGCAATAAATAGGTGTGAAACTGCATTCCACTTAAATTTTCTCCAATCTGTAACTTTGGATGCTTTGACTTAATAGGGCAGAAGATACAGTGAAACCAGGATAGAGATGACCATACACTGGACTGATATGTCTGAACTCAAGTTCCAACCAGCAATTTCAACACAGCATGATGTAGCAGGCTCCTCTGAGATTCTTTGGTAGCTTTCAAAATGGATGTTTTAAATACAGTTTTTCCAAAATTTCTCTCGGTTCTAAAATAAATCTTTTATGCTCTGATAAACATTTTCCTCTGATGATTCCTCAGAAGATTAATTCACCTGGAGCAGCATGAAATACAGCTGCATCCTCTCATGGAGGCGTTCTTCCTCAAATGCAGGTATCAGAGTTCTAATTATTATCCTCATGCAAAGAGTAATACATGAATCAGGACAGAATGAAGTTTTTGAGATTATTATTTTAATCAGTCTGATATTCAGCCTATTTTGTATAGGATAATAAAACATTGTATTAATGCCACTACTTCTTAAGAAGGAGGGGTGTGCAGTATCCTTTCTTTCCATCAGGGGCCTGTCCTTTGCTCCATTCATTGGAACCCTAGGCCAGTCTTGAGCTATGCAGCAATAAAATACATAGAATTTTCTTCCACTTTGAACCATCCAGAGTTTTCAGCACAATCTATAGGATTTGGGAAAAATACTAGCTGTACCGGTGGATTTTGTAATCAAAGAAAACACAATAATTTCAAGAGAAATATCAAAAGTGCTTTATTCAAAGTAATGTCCATGAGTACCTACACATTTCCCTCATCTTTCAGGTAATTTGTGGATACCGTCCCAAAAGAACTTCTCTTGTTTTGAGGCAAATGATTCAGAGACCAAATTTTCCACTTCTTCATATGTTTTGAAGTGCTGCTCAGAAAGTGTGTGTGCCATCAATCAGAACAAGTGGGAAGCTGAAGGAACAAGGTCTGGTGAATACAGCAGGTGAATTAATACATCCTGGGCAAAAACAAAACAAAACAAAAAAAAAAACCCTGGTTGTTTCTCAATCATAGCATGGTTCAAATTGATGACTTGTTGTGGATAGCAATCAGTATTAAAGGTTTCACCTGGTTTTAGAAGCTCATAATATATCACACCTTCCAGATCCCACCAAACAGCACATTGCGTTCTTTCTGAAGCAAGCTGGCCTTGCAGTCGATGTTGATGGTTGACCTGGACCAACCCATGATTTTGTGCATTTGGGATTCTAAAAATAAATCTACTTTTCATCGCTAGTCACAATTTGATGCAAAAAGACTTTCTTTCGTGCCATTGAAGCAACATTTTACTGATGACTTTTTAGTTTTCCATTTGTCTTTCGTTCAGTTGAAGTGGCACCCATTGTCCTTCCTTAAAAATCTTTGCCATTGCTTGTAAATTATTGGAAATTGTTTGCTGAGCAACATTTAATCTTTCTGCAAGTTGTTTTTGAGTTTGACATGCATTTTCATCCAATAATGCTTGTAATTGTTGGTCTTCAAACTTTTTTGGTTGACCTGGACGTTCTTTGTCTTTCACATAGAAATCATCACTTTTAAAGCATTTAAACCAGTGTTCACAAGTATCTTCAGGTGGAGCATATTCACTATAACCTTCCCTAAGTATTCAGCAGCACTTTTCTTCAAAATGAAGTAATAAATTAAAATTTCCAGCAAATGCTTTTTTAGCTCGAAATTTGACATTTTTAAGTGTGAAAATATCTATGATGTTAACACCTTCAGCTAATTTTACATATTAAGTTTTGACATTTGCATCAATACAACAAAATACCATACATATCAAATCGCATATATATCAACATATGTGTAACTCCATCTGTTGAAAAAATCCACATTAACTGGTACACCTAAAAAGCATAACATGCTAATTAGACCAGACGTCCTTCCGAACTTCCTTCCAGACAAAGAAGCAGCAGTGGGGCCAAGGCAGAGGCAGTTTCTGCAGTAGTGGGGCCAAGGCAGCCATAGCAGTGGCAAGGGCCACGCCCTTGCACAAATTTCATGCACCAGGCCTCCAGTATATATGATCCTTCTTTTACACACATGCTTAGAATTGTATTATAGATTATATTGTACCCCCAAAATTAATGTGTTAAAATACATATCCCTTAATACCTCATATTCCATAATACCTCACAATGGGACCTAATTTGGAAATAGTCACTGTGGATGTAATTAGTTATGATGAGGAATTAATGGAGTAGGATGGGCTTCTTATAAAACCAAGAGAAATATGGACATAGACACAAGGAGATGGCCAGGTGAAGACTGGGGTTATGCTCCCCAAGGCCAAGGAACTCTCAGGACCTAGGAAAGGAATCTAGATCAGCAACTTCCCTGGAGAGTTCAGAGGGACCATGGCCATGCCCATACTTTGATTTCAGACTTCTGGCCTTCAGAACAGTAAGACAGTACATTTCTGTTGTAAGCAGCCCACTTTGTGGTACTTTGTTATGGCAGCCCTAGGAAATTAATAGAAGCTATAACACAAGTATGTGGAATTGGGAGCAGTGGTGGAGGTGGAGGATTACTTTTAATATCCATTTCAGCAAACCTATTAGTACCATCCTGCCTTACAGATTTGTTTTGCCTATTCTAATGTTTGAGTAAGAACACATGCCAATAAGTATATTTTTTCTATCTATTTGGGCATCTGGTTTAACACATGGGTCTCTATCACTTACTAGCTCGAATTTACCTCACTGATATTTGATTCCCCAACATTAGTAACATTTGATCTAGCATTGCATGGGCCTATTTGTGAGGATATGATGAAATAACATAAGTGAAAGGTAATACAGAGACATGTGGAAGAGGATGTAGTGTAAAGGTTAAAATCTGGGATCCTGATTCTACTCCTTTTATTAGTTTTGTGTCTAAACTATGGATTTAGTTCCATGATTTAAAAATTAGAGTTGTAGTGATATCTGTATTTAAAGTTGTCATGAATTTAAATGAGTTAATACATCAAGAGGTCTTTGAAGATTGTGTAGAACATGGAAAGTACTCAACAAATGGCAACTAAAAGAAGTACCTCAAAAACAAAAAAGAACCATGCAAATGTTAGATCAGTATAATTTATAGTTAGCAAGCAGCTTATTTTTTGTTTTAATGTGGAAGGCCACCTTTAAAAAAAAAAAAGATATATATTTTTATTGATTTCAAAAAGGAAGGGAGAGAGAGAGAAAAACATCAATAATGAGACAGAATCTTTGATTGGCTGCCTCCTGTGTGCCTGCTACAGGGGATTGAACCCAAAACCCAGGCATGTGCCTTGACCAGGAATTGAACTTGACCTCCTGGTTCATAGGTAAATGCTCAACCATTGAGCCACACCGGCCAGGCAGTAAATCCAATGTGAGGGTTGTTACCGAGTGGATGAGCTTTTATCAGAAGAGACTTCAAATGAGGGGCTATTTGTGGTATTCATTAGTGTTGTCATTTCCTTGTGTGAAAGTATTGTAGAGCCAAACTTTTTGTTGAGCATTACACTGGCTGCTCTAATAAATAGATAAAAAGCAAAGAGTTTAAGTAGATTTCCCTGGGGCATTCAGAAGTGGAAACTCATTAAAAAAAAAAAAAAAAAAAAAAAAAAAACGCTTTTAAAAGTTTGTAATAAAATTTTTGCATATATTTGAATTGAGATACATTGTCGATGTAGCACATCCCTTATTGAATAGTAAATAAAAAACAGATAGCCACTTTCTTACCTTGCTCTATACCCCAGGGTGAGTTTTATCACTTAAATAAAAGACTGTCATTGGAAAGCACCACTTGCTTCATTTTAGTGTCTGTACTTAGAGGGGAGAAAGAAGGATTTTACCAAAAACACCTTATTAGTTTACTCAGAGGAAATAGAAACAGCTGAGATGTTTTAAAAATGAATTATATTATTACATTTATTCAATTTCATACAACTTACCCAGGAAGTATATATTTGGAAGGTAGATTGTCTCAGTGCTGTGGATAAGTTATAGTCTTCAGAACTGTGGTGTGTTTGGTGTGCAGCCCACATAATATTAACCTCTGCAAAACACATAATTTGAAACGAGCCATGAGAATAAGAACAAAGCAACTTCCATTTTCAGTTATGTATGCTGCTCTGTTGAGTGAGGAAGAAAATCTGGAACATCTCTGAAAAAACTAGCTAATATAATTATAATTAAAATAAGCTGCTTCAAATCACTTTTGGAAGCAAGGAGGGTATAAATTACAAATAAGTAAAAAATTGAAACATAGCCAATAAACATGTATAGTGTATATGATATAATTAAATGCCTCTAGCAAATTGAAATGACTTCCAAAATTTACACTTTGCTAACATATTACAGTATGACAGATCATAAAAACTAACTGGTAATGTTATAATAATAGAGTCAACGAACAGTGATGATATTTCAGTATGTGATAACATATTTCTAATTAAAGAAGAATACTCTGATGGGAGAACTTGCTGCATATATTTTGGAATAAAATATTACATAATATTATTTCCTGATGGCATTTTAAGAAATTTCATACTATGTCTATTGAAATAAGAGGCAAAGCAAAATAATATTTGTTCCTTGGATTTAAGGTTTCATTTTTATTAACAAATATATTAGCTAATAGTTACGTGGTTTTTTTTTTTTCATGCTTTACAAAAACACTATGCAATTTCTAAAATTGTCCCTCATAACTGCTTTATGCTCATAATAGAAAAGGAAACATAAGTTGTAATTTCCACCAAGTATTATACAAATTAACCCCTTAATGCATTGAAATTCATATATACACAAAAAAGATAGTTGTTTGATTTGTTTACAATAAATATGCCACTATAAAATGACCCCTAAAGCAGATGACACAAAGAAGAACAAGGCCACACTTTTTATTCTGTCTGTATTTTTCACTGTCTATGAAGATTAAAATGCCCCACAATATTATATTTAATATTTAAAAATTATGTTCTTAGCTAAACTAATTTATATTTAGTCCTTTGCTATAAATACAGGAGGTAGAATTAATTATATGATATAATCATTATATATCTGTCAGTATTGATTAGAAATTAAATCTTTGGGGCTTAAATTCATGGGAACTGAACAGTGAACATAAGTGAAAATTTGAGGTTATTTTTCTTTGCAATTGCCATAAACTAATAGTTATAATTCATGGCATATAGCAGAATAATTTATTAGAGGTTTTTATAAAAAGTATATCTATATAATATACACCTATATTATATATATAAATATATATTACATATACACTATATTACATATAGTATTATATATTATATATACACTATGTCATATATAGCATGTGTTATATATTAATAATTACATGTTATATAATACATATATCATACATTACATATTAATTACATATTATATGTTAAACACATATTATATAAACATATATTATATATACACACTGTTCCAAGAAATATATACAAAGTTTAACAGATGACAGTTCAGTTTTGAAAATGAAATGTATTTTAATAAACAGTGCCTCTATTATTTTTCAAAATGTGTATACACACTTTCTGGGGGGCACCCTATATATTTAATCTGGGTGCACTCCTTAGCCATTTGTTTAGGAAATGAAGCTCTCAGAACAACCTGTACAAGGAGTTACCAAACAAGATAGCATTTTTTTTTTAAATATATTTTATTGATTTTGTACAGAGAGGAAGGGAGATAGAGAGCTAGAAACATCGATGAAAGAGAGAGTCATCGACCAGCTGCCTCTTGCACACCCCCCACTGGGGATGTGCCCGCAACCAAGGTACTTGCCCTTGACCGGAATCAAACCCGGGACCCTTCAGTCCCCAAGCCGACGCTCTATCCATTGAGCCAAACCGGTCTCGGCCAAGATAGCTTTTGCTGAAGTGTTTTGGTAAATAAATGATAGCTCAGAGATTTAAGAAGAACTTATTTCTGTGAGAATAAGAATATTGTGAACAGAATTATGAATCAATATCCCTATCAAAAGTCATTTCTATTAAAGTCATGTATTTGCAAGTATATTTATAAATCTTCTATCTACGTACTAGTATATGTAACTTAGATCCTGATTGGTTGACTTTTTTTTAATCATATACAGTAATGACTCTATATTTTTACCCAAGCAATTAAGAAAATTCTTCTTATATAAGTAAGAACTATTTCACCATAATGACCCTTAACTTCCCAGGCATAATCTCTGAAATAACCTAGAACCTAACTAGCTATTTAGCTACAAATAAGAGATATGCAAAGAAACCTTGGGTACTTGATAACTTTAGATGTTATTTGAAAATTTATTAAGAGGTACTAAATTTGAGGAATGTCCTAAATCTTTTAAAACTTCTTACAGATTGAGCTCCTGAAGCAATCTAAACAGTATTATCTTTTTAGAACACATCCACTATTTCAGAACCCATGACTTACAAACTTCATCACAAATAAAATAACTGTCCATTTTTTTGGAACTTTCAGGATTTGTTTTTAAGAAACTCATCATTATGCATCCATGGTCTGAGTGCACAAGGGGAAAAACTAACCAAATGAGGTTAGAGGGTGATAAGATATATTGAAACTACTTCCTTATTACCTCCACATAAGTTAAATGGCTGAACAAAGAATCCACAAAGGTGGAGGTCAAAGACCTGTCTCTTTAGTTGTTTTAAAAGCATTTACTTCCTATCACAAACCGTGTGTAACACAAGCCTTCATTCAATGAAGTACAGCTGTGTAAACAGGGTACAGTAACAGGATTTTATTGCTTTACCTCTGTCACTTTGCAGAATTGGGGGAAAACAAGAATATGGGATTTTTTTCACAGTCTATATTATGCTTTCTTAAAGTAAATAAATTTTTTTATAAAATGTAACTTATTGTAAGTTATTATAACAGTTCTTTTGTAAATAATATCAGGAAATTTGATAGTGCGTTTGTAAATATGTTCATCTTCCCTAATTCTTGATTTGATAAAGTAATTGTCCTAATGGGAAAATAAAATCACAACTAGTAAACTGAAACATATTATTGCAATAGACTTTCTATAAAAAATGTAAGTTGTAGTTAATAACAATTTTCTTTCCTGCAAGTTAATTATCATTATACAAACATATGGTATATTATTAGGGTTTTTCAATAATATAATCCTATCTAATAAAAGAGAAATATGCAAATTGAAAGTACCTCTTCTACACCCACAAGCCACGCCCCCAGCCAATCAGGAGTGAGTATGCAAATTAACTCAACCAAGAAGGCTGCAGCCATGGAGCAAGAATAAGGCTTGGGTTTCCCTGGCAATGGAGGAAAGCAAGCTTCCTGCACACCCTGGTCAGCCCTGGACTCCACTCAAGGCTACAAAGTTTCAATTATAGAAGATAAATAAATCCCAGATACCAAGGCCTCCACTTGGGTTGCTGGGGGATGTGGCCAGCCTGCAAACCACCACAGGCCCCTCACCCAGGCCACCCCACACCCCAAGTGAATCCCACTCTAATCAGTGACACCCTTTAGGGCAAACTACCCAGTCCCCACCCTTGCACCAGGCCTCTATCCTATTTAATAAAAGCATAATATGTAAATTGACCATCACTCCAACACACAACATGGCTGCCCCCATGTGACACAAGATGGCTCCCACAAGATGGCCATTAGGGGAGGGCAGCTGGGAGAGACCAGGCCTGCAAGGGAGACTGCAGGAGAGGACAGTTAGGGATGACCAGGCCGGCAGAGAAGGGAAGTTGGAAGCGAGCAGGCCTGCTGGGGAGGACAGTTAGGAGTGACCAGGCCAGTAAAGGAGGTCAGTTAGGGGCAATTAGGCTGGCAGGGGAGCAGTTAGCAATGCAAATTAAAGACTAAAAGTCTTTTTTGAACTGCCTATTGAAAATCTGTACCCACATTTTAATTTGGTTATTTTTTACTATTGAGTTTTGAGAAGTCTTTGTATATTCTTCATACAAATCCTTTACTAGATGTGTGATTTGCAAGCATTTTCTCCTAGTTTGCAGTTTGACTTTTCATATTTTAACTCTATCTTATGAAGAACAAAAGTTTTCATTTTGATGTAAATCTAGTTCATATACTTGAGGGGTTTGTGAAAAAAATATTTTTAGTATATATAACAAAGAACAGGGACAATTTTGTAGAAATTTTTCAGAAATGATGAGAAATTTGGAGACATTTAGAAACAAAGAAAGTCTACAGACATTATACATCTAAAGTCTCTATATAAGTCTCTCCTCTCATATCTTGTCAGCTATAGAATGGAGAGAAATAACTTTTAAATTAATCTGAGACATAAACAGGTCTACAAGGAATTTTTAAAGCTATAAGACAGGTATTTAATTTTCAATGTGGATAGAACATCAGATTTTGAGTTATTCAGAATTTGGAAATTCCTCAAGTTATGAAAGAAAAATGTTACAGGCATATTTGCAAAATGTTAGTGATGCTTGGCATCAAGATAGGCATGTTAGCAGCACTCTTTGCAACATTTAGCATATTGTGTGGTAACTGTGGAACATGAGAACTGCAGTCTTTTAGTTCAAATTTTACTTTTAGAAATAATAAAAATGAAATTAAAATAGGAAAGGAAAAAGTCTATTAAAGAAAGAAAGCTTTTTATTCTCTCTCTCTCTGCAGTGACTTTTTATGCATTTACTGCCTTCTTGCATATTTTTATTAATGTGTAATTGACACACAATATCCTATAATTTTAGGTGTACACAGTATATATATATATATATATATACACACTTATTGTGGAGATAATTTTGTAATATTGATCTCCACAATAAGTCTACATATATATATATATATATATATATATATAGTCTACATAAGTATATATATATATATATATATATATATATATATATATATATTACAAAATGATCTCCACAATAAGTCTACTTACCATCTGTCACCATACAAACCATACAAAGTTATTACAATATTGTTGACTATATTCCCTGTGCTTCACATTACATCTCCATGACTAATTTATTTCATAACTGAACATTTTATCCTTTAGAAATAGAGGTGACT